CTGTCAATCAAACTATTGTGGGAGGGGCCTGTCTGTGTGACGTCACACAGACAGGCATCTGAGATCGGCTCAATTTGAGAAAGGGGTAAAGATTTTAGTAGATTAACAAAAAACCACTGGGTGGATTTTTATCATTTTAAGGTGGTTGTGTACACACACTGCCAACACACATTTCAGTTCAAACAACTTGTAAAAGTGCATGTAGCATCATATGACCCCTTTAAAATCTGTTCAAAGAAGTCATGCAGCGTATTCCAGCCTCAACTCAATGTGTGCTCTAAAATCAGTCCAAAACATGTTTAAACACAGCATGAAGCTATAAAGTCTGTGCCCATCATACACTACATGATCTTCTTTGAAAAACTCTGTCTCTGAATGACCAAAATCTGTAGATTGGCTCTGACTTTGATCAACTTTGAGCAAAAGTCGCAGTGTACTCCAGTCTTAAAGGAACAGTTCACCCAAAATGAAAATTCTGTCATGGTTTACTCCACCTCGAGTCGTTCCAAACCTGTATGAGCTTCTTTCTTCTGCTGAACACAAGATAGTTTGAAGAATGTAGGGAAGTTAACTAAGCAATTGATGGTCCTCATTGACTTCCACAGATCCAAAATATCTTCTTTAGTAGCAGAAAAAAGAAACAAACAGGTTTGGAACAACTTCAGTGTGTGTACATGATGACTGACTTTTTATTTTTGGGTGAACTATCCCTTTTAACATCCCTTTGCATCTTTATAGTGTGCTTTCATTTGTTTTTACAAAACTTTATGGAAGACGTGATGTTAATTATCAGCCATTAAGTTACCTGAAAATACTTACGCCCTATGGATGGAAGCAAGAATTTCAATATTACTGAATCCAAGAGAATTGATACAATTTATTTGGATGGAAATCAGTAATCCTAAAACAGAGCTGTTCAGTCATGATGTTAATTTGTACCCAGAAGGCTAGCTCACTGTGCTAATTTCAGGGGGGCAGTTCTAACCGCATTGCACGACCGTTAGTGAACAGAGCACATTATACATATAACAGATGTGTAACTTTAGATAATAAAATGTAAACTGAATCGTTCTAGGACACCACTTTAAAACATCTAGTGCCCTACATACGGGAGAGTGAGCGATTTCAGACAATGAACTTCATGATTAGCATCCCCGGCTAGTTCAGAGGCAAACTAACCAACACTTTCCTCAGGAAAAAACAAACGTTATACTGGTAAACTCGCTCTGTATCAGATGTTTTTAGTTTATAATAACTAATACTTTAATATTAGTCTAATAACAAGAACTCTACTCTCTAAAACTGAAGCGGTTTTCCTATATTTCAGACACTAAGATAACACGACAAAACTTCGACAGTTAGTGCAACGGCCGCTCGCATCCCTACCGTTACATCTGCCGATAGATTAGCAGCTTTGAGCGCCAGTTTGTTGACGGAAATAACTGTCTGTCATTTGTTCAAACACAGTGGAGAATATTTTCAGCAATTAAACGGCACACTTTTTAACTGTTGTTTTTCTTTCTTACCCACACACTTGCCCGGGCATTTCTTCGCTGTCGTGCAGGAGTTTCTGAAAAGGCAACGATAATTCAAGAAGTAAACTCGCTATTACAGTGAAAGAGATATGTGTTACAGTAGTGAAAGCTGGCGGTGCGTGTGTCGTTTTGTTTGCCTCGCACGCGCCTAACCTCCAACTGCTGCGTCCTGAGCCCGCGCGCACAGCTTCTGCGCTCGACTGCGTCACATCTGCGCTCAGTTTGCGCAGCGCAGCCGCTGCTTTCCTCCCACTGCAGCCCAACGGGTCTGCGCAGAATTACGCAGCACAAACCGCTCACGACCGTTACAGGTAAATTCAGTGACACGCAGCATGTACTTTACATTTAAGTGTTTGTATTAGGCACTGCTAGCACATTAAAACGTGTTTAAACATGTATTCAAATCTGATTGCATTGGCATCTCTTTTGTGCCGACAGAACTTTCTGTTATCAGTATATTTGTGATTCTAGATTACTACCTACCTATATATATATATATATATATATATATATATAGGTAGAATGTGCTGATTTTTTCTTTTTTGTCACCAAATGAGCTTATCTGCAGTCACCTGATGAGACTAAAATGAGCAAGTTTAACCTTTTGCGTAAGGGGCAAAACTAATGATAATTGATCTAAAAACTTTTTCTAGTAATCATAAAGTCAACATGGGATTTTAAATACCTGTTTCTGGTATTTCTGTTTCAGCTAGTCTACATGTCTTGTGAATGGTTCATTATAAAATCATGAAATGGTTCGTTTTTTTATGTTTATTTAATGGAAGTTAACATTAATGTTATAAATGTTACTACTAAAACAGATGGAGATGCTCTGATTAGTGGTGAAGTCAAAATGAATTAATAGTGTGTGAATGTAATGTTTTGCATGAATTCATTGCTGCTTTGTCATATGGAAACAAAAAGTGCCACATCAGAGGAAAATGAAGTAAAAGCTCAGCACATTTTTTTCCAAGGTGAATTCTGACATATCACACAGATTAAAGGAAACTTTAGCACGATTTTACAACACCTTAAACAAAAACATGTAACATTATGAGCAGTATATCTGTACATATACAGATATACATATACATTTATCAATGGTTTTTCACATATCTGAAGACTTTCTAAGCATTAATACATGATTTCATAAAGCACAGTCAGATTAACTTCACACTTACGGATCTTACATAAAATAGATTTGATTTTGACATTTTTAATGACAGAAGAAATGCTCTTACAGGACGTTTTGCACAAAACGTTACAAAGCAAAGGTGTAATTTTCCATGCTTTTCAGTAATCAGATGAGGAACGTTAGATGAGGATGTTGCCAAGAGTAAGGCACGCAGATCCACGATCCCCAAAAGATACAGATTTTGCAACTATAGCTGCTTTGCCAGTGGTGCAATCAGCAAATCCATCTCCCGCAATGTCCTTTAGTCTTACACAGCGAACATGAGTGCATACTGATGAGATATCTTATGATGAATGTAAAATGAGCACATCTTAAAACCCGTCATCCGACAGGTGCGTTTGCCCTCATTACAGTCCAGTGTTTTTCCAGCGCTCAGTGACATGACGGTGAGAGAAGCCTTCGTCGGTCGGCGCCTCAGAGGAAGCCGTCTTCTCCAGAGATGTATGAGAAGCCGTTGAAGGCGTTGGAGCTGCTGGTGGCCAGGCTGGGGGTGGGGTCTGGAGTGCGGCCCACAGAGTTGGGCACCATCTCTCTGGTGAACTTTTTATGGAAAGTAATGCGTTACGTTACTTTTGAGTTACTTTTTAAAACTTGGCAGGGTTTGCTTGTTTATTTTTTAATATAAAATGTTCTTCTTTTACAAATGTAAAATCCCTTTCACACCAAAAGTGAAATGAATCCGCCTCAGGCTGAAGGAAATGTAAATTCACGTCTGTGCAGTAGAGGGCGCCGCTCAAACAAATCGCATGAAGAATATGACGCAGGAGAAGAACGTTCAGGGTCTGGAGTGCGGCCCACAGAGTTGGGCACCATCTCTCTGGTGAACTCTGGGTCAATGTGCTGAAGGTCTGCTGGGCCTCTCTGGAGAAACACGGCAGAACTCTTATTACACACATCGCTTTCAGTCTAACACTGTCAGATGGAGCAGAAATGAATGTGTGCATGCAGTAAAGAGGTGCATACAGTAATAATCTGTATTTGCTTCCTAATAATCACCAACAGTGTTGGGGAAAGTTACTTTTAAATGTAATGCATTACAATATTGCGTTACTCCCTAAAAAAGTAACTAATTATGTTAGTTACTTTTTATGGAAAGTAATGCGTTACGTGAGTATTGCAGGTTTGTATGATATTCTGAGTTTGCATTGCACTGTCTTTATTCATTTTGAGGAATACTGAATCTGTTTTTGTGCAGGTGACATGAGTAAATACATGTTCATATTTAGTCTAGATCTACAGTAACACTCACATACAGTACACTTACTCCTGATTTCTGTCGCCATGGCAACACCGGAGCTGTCACTCAATACATGGGAAACAAAGTAACTGGCGTTACTTATTTGAAAAAGTAACTCAGATATTTCCTTCTAAATTAAAAAGTAATGCGTTACTTTACTAGTTACTTAAAAAAGCAATCTGATTACATAACTCGCATTACTTGTAATGCATTACCCCAAACACTGATCACCAAGGGAGTTTGTAGTAACCTACCACATTTGGGTTATATGGAGGAGTGATTCGCTTGTGGTAGAGGTCGTCCCAGTTAATGGGGGCAAAGAACACATGATTTTTAATCTCCAACTGCAAAACCAGAACAGTTGACACATTAACAGTGACTCCTGGCCTGATAAACAGTTTCACAATGACAAAGACCTCCAGAGGGTCACTCACAAAATCAGCAATGGCTCCTATCCGGCTACGCTGGTCTTTCTGCAGGAGTCCGTAGAGCAGGTGACTCGAGGCCTCCGACTTCCCCGGCGCCAGCTGCAGAGGTTTATGCAGGATCGCGTCGTACATCTCAGACACGTCCTGGCTGTAGAACGGAGGCTGTGTGCCACAGTCATCCCAAATTAAATGTGATTATGTTCCATTAAGTTTGGGCCAAGAAGATTAAAATATATCCAGTGAATGTGTGAACTTACTAAGCTGTAAAGCATCTCATGGAGCACAGCTCCGAGACACCACCAGTCCACAGTGCGGTCATACGGCTCTTTCCGTAGGATCTCAGGGGCCAGATACTAAGAGTGAGAGAAAATCACATGACTTTGTCAACCCAGATACATAAAATACACTCACATTAAACAGTATGTACTATATAGCAAATCTCAACTGCTCTAATTTGTTTATATTATCGAAAAATGTAAACTATATTATAGCCCAGTGATATATTAACAGTTGAACATATGGTACATTCTTTGCCTGCATGTATACAGTACACTCACGTAAATATATATATATATATATATATATATATTAGTGCTGTCAAACGATTAATCGCATCCCAAATAAAGGTTTTTGTCTACACAATATATGTATGTGTACTGTGTATATTTATTATGTATATATAAATACACACTCATACAGTATATATTTTGAAAATATTTACATGTATTTACATGTCTATTTAACAGCACTAATATATATATATATATATATATATTAGAGATGTAACGGTATGCAAATTTCTTTTTTAAAATCAACAAATAATAAATTTAATTACTTTTTGTTGCGTAAACACTAAAACTATAGCATTACCAAAGATGTCTGGATTTTAAAGGACAACATGACAGAATAGCATGTACGAAATGTTCAAATAAAGCTTTGAAAAAGTTTCATAAAATGGTAAACCT